ATATTTTTCTATCGATCTGCTGCCGCCGCCGCCGCCGCCGCCGCAGCTCACTCTGGCTCACGAGCGGATTTATATTTATTTCACGTGGACCGATGCATATTCGCGCGTCTCGACGATTTTAACGACTCGGATGAACTTTTCGACTGTTGCCGCGAACTACATGTGAGACGTTTCCTCACATCGTGTTCTGAAATAATTACGCAACGTGTTCGTTCGAGACGCTTCGCGTGCATCTTGTAAGCGCTTGTTTTCCTCTGGCTCGAGTAACTATTTATGCAAATGAAAGTCTGAAATATACAGATAGACGGATAATTCTCGGCACGGGGCGATGGCGCAATCCGTTTTGTGGGGCATCGAGAGTGATAAGTAATAAGAGGCGGGTTTTACGGTAGCCAAGGTTGCAGCCAAACGAATTCAGATTGCACAATAGTACAACTCTCGGAAATCAGTTCACTGGCACGGTAGAAAGGTACACACGAGCGTTCGCGGCTGCGATTATTAGCTTTACCTTAACCAGTTACTCGACGCTGTACGACACATGGATATATATCAAGGTTGCAGCGAACCTTCGCGCAGCTTCCATGTGTTTCGCAAAGCGCCGACGGTTTTGACGTTTCCTCGTCTCGAAAGAATGCGCGGCTCGAATACGCTCGCCGACAAGGCCGTTTAATAAGTCTGTTTCTTCATCGACGTCGCTTCGAGAGAAGCTTTAAGAGAAGCTTTTGCAAATTCTGATTCTTATTAAATTCTCAAGTTCGAAAATCAAGTTACGTTCGGTGCTTCACTGGCGCCAGCAAGCAAGAACTACGGTGAAAAAAATTCACAATGTAATATTTCAGGACCTGACTGTAAGACAAACTTGTGTTAAAAATTCTTATATGGATGAATAATGAATTCTCCATCATGGATGAAGCACTATGATCCTACTTCGTAGATTATTCATGTTGCCACGCATCAGGTTAACCAGCGAATCATTCGTAGAACATTCTGTCACGCCTCGCGAATATCAATTATTCGGCCGCGGCGTTATTAACGGATTAGGCACGGTTTACGCCAGTTTTCCGTTTATCGCGCATGAATCTTGGAAAGTAACAGTGCCAGCGGCAGCGCCGAGGGGATCGAATCGCGAACGTATGTACGTACGTTCCGCGAGATTTTACCGCTGGTCGCGGGTAATTTACGCGCGCACCCGTCCAAACGAGAGACTTTCGACATTGATGCGGCTGGCGGACGAGTTACGAGATAGATGGAAAATCAACGACGTGTAACATTTATATGGTATGTCCGAGACAAAGTTGCAAAACCGCTTGGGAGGTTTCAGCGGCGAGAGCGCAGATGAATCGGCGCGATAACATGGAGGTAAGGTGCTTCGATGGCTGAAGCGTGCAGTCCGCTGGATTGAAAGATTGAAAATAGCGAAATTTACATAAACTCAGTGTAGCATTTTGATTTTCCGTCGATAATTCCCATTGAAACAGCAGAGATTGACTATGTCTTGTTCCAGACTTTGACATGCGAGATATCCTCGAATTTACAACCTCGGCATGCTAGTATGCATAATCAGGGCCTTAAGTCTTTAGTATGCTTATTAACTCCTCTCTTTCCTTTCTCGAATCTTCGCTACGTGCCTTGCAAAAGCAACGCGAGAAATTACGTCGTTGCCCCGTCATAATTTATGGTAAGTAGGCGTCGACAGATTCTAGTCGATATCCCCTTGTGGCCGTGCGATTAACGTACGGCAACTATTTAATAAAGATTTTTCGAGGCGCAGTTTAGGCTTATTTCCCAATTGATGCACTTGACGGATGATGCGTATGCAGTTAAATCGGCCAATCTATAGCGTTACTCAACCTGTTTTTAACAAGATATTTCCGTATTGTCGCGTTAGCGCACGCACACGTACGTACGTAAAAGCGTCTCGACCCGCCCCTGTCTAGTCATGTCAGCGCTAAATGAACCATCAGGGCCGCCATAAATCCTCGGACTATCAGATGAGCAGCCACGGACTTGCCTGTCCCGGATATAACGAGGGACCACCGCCCAGCGTAATGGAAGCACTCTCTGTCGACGCTCGAAAGATACTTTCGAGATTGGACCGAGGCTTCTTGTCCTGCCGGACGAGTCAGCTCTACTTGATCCGATCTAACGATATACGGAGAGATTCTTCTAACAGACAGTTCCTCTAATTCCATCTAATTCCATTGGAAAATTACGCGGTTCGCCTCGAAAAATTACCTCGAAAAATTTTTTTCACCTACGCGTATAAACAACTTTGGCCAGAATTTGGAGGATTTCTCAGCCCGATCTTTCATTTCGATCAGTGCTGTTGCTTGCCTCTAACGATACGGTAACCAATACGGTATGCGTGGCTGCGTTTAAAACGATCTTCAACGAAAATCTACCGAAGGAGCTCGACCAAGGTCGAACAAAGGCGGAGAACATTGTTAATTACACGGCCGCACCGGTATCGATACCGCTGCCGTAGGACCCGGCCGAGTGGCCAGCAGTAAAGATGGCATCGTACACACTAACGAGTAACAAGTGGCGTGACGTTTCAGTTAGGTTTTACTTTGCGATGTGTGCGAAAGACTAAGAAGAAGATATCGGTACACCACGACCAGCTACCTATCGTCTCACCTTCGGGCTCTAATTAACGCTGAGATTCATTATCGACACCTTGTTGTACCGTCGGCCACTGTCTTAATTTAGGCTTCAATCTTTTTCCATCATTTTACTCAGAGCGTTTTTACCGTGCTTTCTCCTTTCTCTTTAAGGTAGATAAGTAAAATTAAACAAAATTGTCAAATTTTATTCCTCGCTGTTTATATATCTGATCGAAAGGAAGTCTACTTGTAGGAAAGTTGTTGCTTTGGAGACAGTGTTAAACGGGTCTCTAGAGCATGCACTATCTGGACCATTATGCAAAACAGAAATTTGTTCGAGGCACGAGTAACAAATGGCCCTCCGTTCGAGCCATCATTTGTAAGGCATAGCTTAGTTTGCATGTATGCATCTGCAGGCTGCATTAAGTTAGTTACGCTTAAATGCAAATTGACGCGTTAATCGATCTGTTCCAACTTCGGAACTCTCTGTATATAATGAATCTCCAAATGAGATCGAGCTCGCCGAAAAACTGTGTTATCGTTGACTCGTAGAGGCAATATCTGATGCATCGAACTTTCTCTCGAAAGGAACGAAAACCTTTTATAGTATCGCGATCGATCTTATTGAAATACTGTATTATCGTGATTCCTAAGAGCTCCATCTGTTAAAAAACTTTTATTTTGCACATTTCTCACGATTGTGTCGAATCAAATCGTTTCCCTCCAGACATGCCATTCAGACTATTATATTGCATTGTTCACGAAACGATGAGAACCCCCTGATCTACTCAACATTCTATGGCATAACAGTGAGTACCAGAAGATAGGTATTCACCTGAGATTGATTCTAAAATGCCCTAGGCTGATCGAGACGAACTCGTCACAGTAGATTTGACTTGATCGTGACTAATATTTCAGCGGTAGTAACTTTCAATTCTCATACCTTTGATTTGTGATCAAAATATTTTGATTGTTCGAATTGAATTTGAAACAGGGTACAATCGGAGAATGATGAATGGGACGAACCAGACTATAATCAATTGACAGGTATCAACAAAATTATTATTTCCAAACCAAGACTATTGACGGAAGTTCACATTGAATTGAATATTGGAATAGTAAAAATTTGTTATATTGTTAAACAATGAAATTCGATGATTTGCGATTTAACCAATATAAAATCGTTTGTATATTTAATATATTGTATATTGTGTCAATATACATAAGTCTTAGGTCTTACGATTATAATCGATATATAGATTGTGATAAATTATAATACTATAATATTATAAATATAAGAAACATTTTTTAAAAAAATTAAATTTTTGTACATATTACATGAATAATATTAGTAACAATGTAACGAAATTTAATTAATACATAACTTTTCAAGACAAATTTGTTGAAACGGTCCAGATTTTACAATATTTCCAACTTATTCACCGATGAATTGTCAGAAAATCTGTCTTATTAAAAATAATATAGATTCAAAATTTATAAATTAATAGAAATTTTCTTTCAGCACAATTTTCACAATTCAAAAAGTACGCACGTGTTAAAATGGCGACTATCGATTCAATATCGAACGACTCTCCAGAACGATATATCGAATACGATCGAAATTCTACACTGCTCATCTAGAATTACGGCTTGGGTGTTGTGAGGGTGTTTTATTCATCTATTTTCTTTCCTGACACGTGCAAGTTTTTATTTCGATAGATTAGAATAATTCTGGAGAATAAACAATGACTGATGATAAAACAGAATTTGTAAGTACTGCGTATTCTTGCGATAATGTACACCGAGGGAACATAACCTCACTTTTTACAGTACGCAGCAGTTTGATACATTTTGCATAAATACTTATTCTTTTCTTATTTATAGGATTGGGGAAACGAGAAATTACAACGTGCGCAGAAAACAGTGGATGAATCTCCTTACGATTTAGAAGCATGGAGCATCCTCATCAGAGAAGCACAAAACAGACCTATTACAGAAGTAAGGCCAGTCTTTGAAAAACTTGTAACTGTGTTTCCTTCTGCGGGTCGATATTGGAAAATTTATATAGAACAAGAGGTAACATTATTAATTTGTTACATTTTCAGTGAACTATATTCATTAAATATTATCAATGTAAATTACTATATAGTTAGTCTTTTTTTTTTTATCAAATAGTATGATTATAGAATAAAAAGTTAATTTTATGATTTTCATGATTATTTCAGATGAAAATGCGCAACTTTGAAAAAGTGGAAAAGGTATGTTAACATTAATTGTCTGAGTTTCAAAATTTAATGAAAGCACTTCATATATTGCCAAGTTTCTAGTTATATGTAATGTTAAAGTTGTGTGAGACGATACACGGTTTCTACTATATTGATTTTAAAATAAAACTATTGGTAGAACTTTTTTTAAAATATAGATTCACGATATGCATGTTTGTTTATTAATCAAGAACAGTTAATAAATTAAATAACCATCACATAAGATAATATAATTTTTAATTGAACATTGGTACTTAAAAAAATTCTATTTTAGTTTTAATATAATATAATAAGGCTACATTTAATACTAGCAGGATATTATTAACCCATTGTGATCAAATATTATCATGTGATTCTAAGCACTTTTTGCATATTATATGGGGTGAATAAAAACAATATTTCACCATACACAAATATTTCATTGATTACAATTTATCTGTTGGTATATTTGGGAGGTTGTTTTCTTTGTTGAATGATATATAATATTGAAGTTTGATATTTTGTGTGATAATCTTAATACTAATTAATGAATACAATCTTAATACTAATGAATGAACAGTACAAATCAACTTACGAAGGCAACTTCCTGAATGTAACAGCCTTGTATTCCTTCCTGCAATACATTCTTTAGTGTGCTTGAATTATGTTATTTGAAATAAAATGATATATCCATACTACATGAAGTGTAGAAATCTTATTAAAAATATTATATAAAATAAAAAAATATTATAAAAATGTATTGAGCATTAAAATGATTGAATTACATTTGTGCAAAATATATTTACCTTTTTGCACATAAGAATAATATTAATGATATACATACTCGTCTCATTATTATGATTAACTTTGAGACGATTAATATTTCTAAATATTATTTTATAAATATGCTTTGGGAATTACATCATTTTCCTTCCCCCAGCACAGTATTTGAGTACTCAAATATTGTGAAATTTTTACAGAGGTAGCATAAGGTGATGAATACATTGAAATATTAATTTATTTTGACCCACATCTGCAACAGAGATAAAGAGTTCCTATTTTAAGTTTTGTCACCTTATGTTGCTTCAAATTGTCTAAATTTTTTTATGATGTTTTGGGATCATTCATTTCTAGATCCCACATAGGTCAATTATATTATTAACCCCACTTATAAAAAATAAATAAAGTTTTTATTCAATGGGGTTTATTTTATGTTACCTTTATAATCTCATATTTAAAAAATTCCTCCTTAATTATTTCCCAATGAAAACATGTTTAATCAATAAACCATTCTCAATTGATGCACTGGTGCATTATTATTTCTCCCATTACGTACAAAACAATATTGTTGTAGTAGTGATTGTATTAAAGATTTGCTTAATAAATTATTGAATTATTACTTCCTGATATTTTGATGTGATTCTTATTGGTTTTATTGATAATGTTTAAATATGTGTTTAAAAAAGACTTGCCTATAAGGGTAAGTAAGGTGGTAGATATGTAATGTTTTGTGTAACCACATTTAAATGAGCTTCACACGGATGTTATACTGGTTTTTTTTTTTATATTGCCTCTAAAGTATTTGTTTTCTCTGACAGCTTTTCCAAAGGTGCCTCATGAAAATCTTAAATATTGAGTTGTGGAAACTTTACCTTTCTTATGTGAAAGAAACGAAAGCCAGTCTTGCAACATACAAGTAAGTATTTATATATTTAAGTATGTTTTTACTAATTGCACCAAAGTTTATTACATGGTTTATTTATAGGGAAAAAATGGCACAAGCCTACGATTTTGCACTAGATAAAATTGGTATGGATATACATTCCTACAGTATATGGAATGATTATGTTACATTTCTCAAAAGCGTTGAAGCTGTTGGTTCATATGCTGAGAATCAGAAAATTAGTGCAGTGAGGAAGGTAATGAATTGTGCATTCTTGTTGGATTATATGTTAATATATCTAAACTAATTTTTTTATATATTGGTATTAATAATTATAGGTATATCAACGGGGTGTTGTTAATCCTATGATAAATATGGAACAATTATGGAAAGATTATATGGCATTTGAGCAAAATATTAATCCAATAATTGCAGAGAAAATGGCTATTGAACGTTCTAGGGATTACATGAATGCAAGAAGAGTTGCTAAAGAATTAGAAGCTGTAACAAGAGGATTGAATCGGAGTGCTCCTAGTGTACCACCAACAGGTCATCCAGAAGAAGTTAAACAGGTAACTAACTGAATTAGTTTGTAAATATTTTGCTATGAATGTTCGATTATAATAAAATAATATTACTGTGTTAGGTTGAATTGTGGAAGAAGTATATTGCATGGGAACGTAGTAATCCTTTAAGAACGGAAGATACTTCTTTAGTTGCCCGCCGAGTAATGTTTGCCATAGAACAATGTTTACTATGTTTGGGCCATCATCCTGCGGTGTGGCATCAAGCTGCACATTTTTTAGAACTTAGTTCAAAAATATTAACAGAGAAAGGTGACGTAAATGCTGCAAAAAATTTAAGTGATGAAGCTGCAACAATGTTTGAAAGAGCAACAAGTACATTGTTATCCAAGAATATGTTATTGTATTTTGCACATGCAGATTTTGAAGAAGGACGAGTAAAATATGAAAAAGTTCATCAAATATATCAAAAGTTCCTTGACATACCTGATATTGATCCTACATTAGTTAGTATTTATTATTAATATTAAGTATTTTGTTTAATGGTTTGGGTACTATTAAATTCAATGTTATTTTACAGGCATATGTACAATATATGAAATTTGCGAGACGTGCTGAAGGTATAAAATCGGCTAGAACGGTGTTCAAAAGAGCTCGCGAAGACCCTAGATGTAAACATCATGTATATGTTGCTGCTGCTTTAATGGAATATTATTGTACCAAGGATAAAAATATTGCTTTTCGGATATTCGAATTAGGTTTAAAAAAATTTGGGGATAATCCTGACTATATACTTTGTTATATTGACTATCTATCGCATTTGAACGGTAAGATAAATCTTTAAGATACAGATTTACTTGTATTTTATGTATCTCAAATTTAGTTATTATTACATTTAAATATTTCAGAGGACAATAATACAAGAGTTTTATTTGAGAGAGTTTTATCATCTGGTAGTTTAGAACCTGAAAAATCAGTGTATGTGATACATTTATTTATTTGTTTAAAATATTCATAAATACACATATATTAATTATTTTTATACTTAATAATTATCTAATATTTATCCTACATCTGATGTTACTTTTAGCGACATATGGAACCGATTTTTAGAATTTGAATCCAATATTGGAGATTTGGCTAGTATTGTTAAAGTTGAGAAACGACGTAGCGCCGTGTTAGAAAAGGTATGATTGACTTGCTCATAAGATATTTCATTTCTCATTTAATGATTTTTGTATAATTTTGAATATTTTATTTCTTTTAGATCAAAGAATTTGAAGGCAAAGAAACGGCACAATTAGTAGATAGATATAAATTCTTGGATTTGTATCCATGTACTCCAATGGAATTACGATCTATCGGATATATGGAAGTGTCGAGTGTTGGAAGAAGTACAGCTGGTGCATTACCGCGAATACCAGATCCAGAAGAAGCTATAGCGTCATTGCCAAGACCTGATATATCGCAAATGATACCTTATAAACCAAAAGTAAATCCATTACCTGGGGAGCATCCAGTATCAGGTAAGTTTCTTTGTTAAAGTATACTATATTTGTTATCATTTATAATAAAATGTGTATATTCTTTATATTTATAGGTGGTTCCTTTCCGTTACCACCGGCTGCAGCACAACTTTGTACAATGCTACCACCACCTGGATGTTTCAGAGGACCATTTGTGGCTGTTGATTTGCTCATGGATGTTTTCAACCGAATACAGTTACCAGATCATGGTAAGATTATAAAATGAAAATGTGCAAAATAAAATAACATATGGAATCTTGATTGTAAAAGAAAGTTTTTTTTTCATGTCTCAGCTCCATTACCAGTAGCGGATAATGGGTGCGATACAAAATTGTTCGATCTAGCAAAATCCGTTCATTGGATCGTTGATGAAAGTAACGATGGAGTTAGTATTGGATCCAAACGTAGAAGAACGCGTCTGGGAGGTGATGATAGCGAAGAAGAAGATTTACCACCGCCACCGGCAAATGACATATATCGCCAAAGACAACAAAAACGAGTCAAGTGAATAAAAAAAGAAATGGTATATTCATCAGAGTTATGTGTCATCTCCACATATTTTGGAGAAAATTGATACATGTTATTATATATTTTTACATTTTCTGTTTGTTCTGAAAAGGGTTTAACCTAAAAGAACAAACCTATTATAATTGAAAAGCGTACGTTACGTATATATAAACAATTACGAGATTTCTTATGTGACACTGTGCACGATATTTCGAGTACTATGTACTCAGAAATCCTATATTTACACTGTTAGTTTCATTTTTGTTCAGATGTGTTCATTTACGATATAATTAAAAAAACGAAAGGAGAAAATTGGGAAAGTCCAATAGATTTAATTTGATTATATTATTACCTACGTCACTGCGTATTTGGCACAAATGTAAGATCGAGATTTAATTTTTACACCAGAATTTACGATGATTTATATTTGAATATAAATGAAACATTTCTCCTATAGAAAATAATTACTGTGCAACTATTTTAGAATGAAAATAACGAGTGCAGCGTTCATGACTCTGTCGGAAAGAATTAATTCGAATTATGTATGGTATTAATTGGAATAATTCTTCTACGTGAAAATCTGGTGCATAAAATATATGAATGGAGAAAGGGCAATTTATTATCCTTAGTTATAAAATAATTTAGTTTTATCGTATAATATCGAATCAAATGTATTCGAAAAAATAGTTTCTTTCATTTCATTTTTTATTTCAATATTTGTATTTATTATAAACTTTATAAACTTTTTCTAAACGACCAACTATTAATGTGTTCCATCTATTATTTTACTTTCTAGCATTTGATAAATAAAATATCTGCGAAAAACTATTTATCCGAGTACACTCATCTCGCGCTGTATTGTTAAATTGATCTGTATAATTGATGTACAGAATCAATAAATTATCGCAACTTCATTGTGATTTCCTTATTTCGAGAATATTTCTATTTTTCTCTCCTCAGAAAATAAACGCTATGACGTGCTGGTGAAGTAGCGTATGTCATCAGAGTTTTAGTCAGCAGGTACAACTACTCAATGAAGGTGCAATTAAACTTTGGGCGCTAACGCTATTTCGAGAGAGTGTTAATGGTTCTCTTAGGAAATAGTAAGTTGAGCTATTTACTATTTACGAAAATAGTTATTCTCTGAGACTGAAATTGTTGCACATATAGTTGTAACTTTTGTTAGATTTGTGCCGTTGTACGGTATATTATACAATACAATTATATAATACAATTTAATACAATTTAAATATAATACAATTTAAATCACTTAAACTAAGAAATATTAGAAAAAAAAGTTATTTAATTGTTTATAATACAACTCAGTATCTTTGATCAAACAAATGGTACCACTTCTCAATCTGTCGCTACAACTATGTACCAACTGTGTACAGTAGAAGCTGCGGAATCTGGTGGAATCTCTATTACACAGGCATAAATCCTTGTACGTTTAATGCGTAATTGTGGCATAGTTCCATGTCTATCTATCTTAGACGAAGATACCTAGCATTTGTACGCTTCTCAAATTGGTTAAACAAGCAACATTCCTTTCGAATGACCAAGCTACGTTTTGTACAAAGTTATTGATATTACTGGGCATATTTTGCATGCTCTGTATACTACCAGTGATTCTCAACCCTTTCTGACAACATCAGAATTATCAGCTATCTGTGAGATACTGATAAAAACGATATTAGCTACTGATAATAAAAAGCGTAAAATCCAATTTACAAATTTTTTTCTTTTTTTTCTTTTTACTGCGATAGTTAAATTGCACCTCTTTGAAAGTCTTCTAATGTCGTAGTAATTCCGCGTAAAACGGAAATTTTCGTAGAGATTCTCACAGCCACCTGAACCTATGGATCCAGGTGTTTCCGCACCGATTCAATAACACGCCATCGCGCCATTTAAATATCTAATGTGTCGCCATTTCGTATTCTAAAACCTTTTCCTTGCTTCAACAGAAAGGGATTTCGATTCGCAGGGAAAGGGTTGATTCTATAATCTGTAACTTTCACACATATTAAGAAGAATTTTCACTTTTCCAGTCATTTACTTTTCATGAACATTAACGTGGGCAGGTTATTGAGAAGCGTTGAAGTAAAACTGCTGTTGAGCCCGATTTTGCAATATCGTGGAATCACCAAGTATAGAAGATTATGCGAAATGCGTATCCTTAATACGTTGCAGTTTAATTAGAATTATTTGAATGCAATTCTTCCGTATCATGTGTTGCCGGAACGCGTTGCTGCATTTACTTTTGTTACATCGTATTATGCTAACGGCTTCTTAACGAGCCACATGCGTGGCACAAAGTACAATAGTTCAGCGCAGCTTGCCTTGTTTCTACATTGATTAATGTACTTGCCATCAGTTCATAGTTGTAACTTGTGATTACGTAGTAGAAATTGAAACTGTGAAGGGAGATGAAACAATCCGAAGTATCTGTATAATCTATTGGCATGCAAAACAGAAACATTTTCGAAACATACTCCGGAACTTGTCAAAATTTCGTCCAAAACTTGGCAGAATGGAGCAGCATGTACCTACATTAAATCAATTTAAACGTTTAGAATCTGAGTACAAAATTGAGATGCCACTGTTCTATATCAATTAAAAAATTCGTATCATTTGCTGTCGATGGAAACGAGTATCTTTGACAAGACGTAGGAAGTAAAAGGAAGAACTAAATTCACTTGAGATTTAACTAGAGATTCCTTCAATTAAAAAATTCGTATCATTTGCTCTGGATGGGAACGAGTATCTTTGACGAAACGTATGAAAAGAAGAATTAAATTCACCCGAGATTTCACTAGAGATTCCTTCAGATACCTAATAAAATTATCAATGCAAGAAAAATTAATCGAAACTGCATTGCAAAAATAGAGAAGAGCGATATAGTAATATTTGAAACAGCATTTAATTTAACTAGCAACTCTGAACGAATGTCCTGTGCAGTTGCATATATCAAAATATGATTGGTTCGAGTTAGTAGTATTCGTATGTAAAGTTACAATCTTTAAATTAGTTTTAATTATTTATTCATTAAAATTATTACTTTTAATTCGTAATTTGCAACTTTTAATTTTTGATTATTAATTGTTAACTTTCACAACTTTTCAACGATCTCAATTGCAACAGTAACTGTCTCCAATATTTCTTATATATGTATATATATTTTTCTTAACATACATTTTTTTTGTAAACAATTACGATATATCCACGTGTTGTTCTTAACATGAGCATAAATACGTAAATTGTCATTCGGAAATCGTTTTACTCGCTTGTAGCGAACTATCGAAACATAGGTTCCAACAGACATCGCGCGAGGTTAACGGAGATTTTACAAACTACCTTCACCATTAATTCCTACAACGAGAAAATTTAGGAAGGCGTTCTCTGGTAACCGCCTGGGACGCAACTTGGAGAGCTCTTTGAAACTTTGGTTCTATCTCGGAGGAAGACAAATGACAAGAGCCGAAAGGAGCTCGTGAAACTGGTAGTTGGCCTTTCATAGAACGCAAACGCATAATTCTCCCACTTCGGCGAGACGGAGCTATCCTCAGATAGCGTGTAAGAGTAATTTCTTCGGCAAATCGATGAAAAAGTAAAAAGAGCCACGTTTTTGGCCCACGGGAGAGACGAATATCTTTCTCTACTTCGTCGGCGAATAAATCAGTAAGCTCCTTTTCGTGCGAATGATTTTCAGTTGCATCGATGAAGTGAAAAATGTCCAAAAGAAAAACACGTTTGCCGATGAGAAATTAGAAAAGAAAAACACAGCAAATAGCGCCGTTATCCAATTTTCCTGCTTTAAAAACGTTCCGCATGTACAATATGGAGGTAATATAAGCGACCCGATCGAAACGTGGGCAAAGTCGATCATGGATTGTAATTGGGTGACGGCTGAAACCATTGCATGGAAGAAATTGTATCGAATTTAACTCGTTCACGCTATCTGTGCTGTCCGTTTCGTCACGCGTGGATTTATAGATACGTCCGAATGGCAATGGGAAGCGATAATAAACCTCCCATGCGACTATATTAGAAGCTTTATCGGAGATCTGATTCAATAGCACTCGTCATCCGGGATCCGACATCGTTATCCTCACAATAGGCATCTCAACTATGCCCGTTTCTCGCGATAATGGTGTTTTCTAAGGCGAACGGATTGCGGCTGCGGATCCTCCTTGAATCTCAATCCTTCTAACGACGCGATGCCTCAATTTACTTGAAGGAAATATCCTTAAACAAGAGTGTGACGGGTAAATTTAACCGCGAACAACAAGTTTCTCTTCTCCTTTGCCATTTCTGACGCCATCACTGACAAGTGTCATTATCATCCTCTGTTAAAAATTGCTCATTCCCGCCGTTGAAATTACATCGAGGAGAGAAAGTGGATAATGCATTAATAAGCGAGAAGGAGACGGTCAACGGTGTTAACGTTCGCCGATTTACCGGTATGACTAATAAGGGTAGATTACGACGTTAATTCGCGCAATTGGATTCGGCTTATCGAACCGAAGTAGATAACATTGTTTTAATCGCTTAGCCGATTTTCTGCGTTCGTACTTCGTAATTCGTGGATAATTTTGATTTTATCGTGTGCGACTTTACCCCATCCCC